TGGCACTTCAGACCGCATGTAGGACAAATTAAAGATAAGCTCCAAAGGGAACGCATTCCAAGCTGCAACCCTTTCAATGAAATACAAAGTCAGGTGTAGCCGAGTAACAATTTGGCCAGTGAGTCAACAACTCGAAAAGCTCCTCTTAATGAAACCACAATGATGGACCCATAGAGGAATCACAGGAGGGAAGCTCGAGTGAAGAAGTGTCATTAACACTCGGCTCAACAAAAACGCTATGAAAATGATTGGCAAATATTTCTGCCTTTTTTTCATCAAGCATAGCAATATTGTTGTCAGATGCTCTTAATGTTGGGAATTTCTTGGAGTTCTCGAGGCGTTTGTTGATGTACGTAAGCAGCTTTGTTGAGTCTTTCAATTCAATGATTTTACTCTCTAAGTATGCAAAATATTTAGTTATACTTTTGCACAACTTTTTATCAAAAAGCTTAAACGTGTCCCAACTCGAGGGACAATCATCAGTTACTGCGCAAGACCATAAATGACTGTGACGACCTAGCATTCTCTCTATATAAGGAGGCAGTTTGATACGTCTACCTTTGGTAGGCCGCAGCGGTACAAATCGATTAATTGAATCGTGGAGAATTGTAAGAAAAAGCTCATATTTCTCATTTACGGTGTCCACAGCAGCCAAACACCCTACCCAATCAATACTACTCAAGTGCTCCCCAATGGCATCATAGTTGGCTTCACTAAAATCCCTTACCCATATTTGAATGGAAGTAGCGGGTGCGGCTATGTTCAGCGTGAAATCTATGGGGGCATGGTCACTGCCACCAATTGGGGAAAGTATCTCGACTTGACTGACTAAGTGATCATCATTACAAAAAATGAGATCAAGGTATGATGCACCACGAGTGGGTTTTCTGACATACTGCACAAAATTATGCGAAAGAAATACATCCGTGAATTCCTCAGATGTAGTAGAGAGGTTACTGGGGCCAGCACAACTCCAGTCAATATCATACAGGTTAAGATCTCCAACAACAAGACAGGGCGTATCATGACTACTGAAGTCGCTTATCAATTTCAGTAACAAACCGCTATGAAGCGCGCTGCATAGAGGAGTACGGTATATTAAAATCAATCTAAAGTTATACCGACAGACAAAAAAAATCAACAACAAGAACCTCATAGGCATCTTTCAGGGAAACTTTGTGCACAACATCATAGGATATGCTGTTTCGAGCCAAAATCAAAACACCATCTCCTTTTTTATAGAGGCGGTCACATCGTAACACCTGATATTGAGAACCTATGATACCTAGAAAGGGAGCTGTGTCGTGTTTTGAATTGAGCCAAGTTTCTGTAATAAGGACTAGGTCATACTTCTTATGAAGCAAAGCTACCACCGAATAGTTATAGTTTTTGACAAAAGAACGAATATTCGAAAGCAAACACCTAACGTTCGGATTGGGATGGCGAAAGTTCAGAGGTTTCCCTGCGGTGTGGATTCAAGAGCAGTTTCAGTATCAACATTACAGCATCTATCTGTTGAATCAATACGTTGGGTTTGATGAGCCATAGAATCATTAAGACAGACAGACCCTACCTTACGCGCCTCTCGCCTACGCATTCTTTCCTCTCTTGTCAGGAAAGAGCGGATGTAAACCTTCCCATGAGGAAGAAACCGTAGGCGAGGGGCCTTTCTGACCGCTTCTCTTTGAGAGCGGGCAGTAGGAAGCACTACTTTAAGAAGTCTCGGTTGAGAGCTACTCTCTTCACCCATGCGATAGACGAGAGAAGGAAAATACTCAACGTCTAGATAGTTAAGAAGAGTCGAGACGCATTGAAGGTCATGACGAGCACGATCCACGGCACCAGGCCGTTGACTTTCCGGAACGTCCGCGACCACTATCGAGCGCTTGAGATCATAATCGATTTCCAATGGCTTCCTATCAGCATCCGGCGGCAGACTAAGACCAGAACGATCCGCTTTTGAATCAATGACTTTGAAAGATGACAGCAATTTCCCAAGTTGAGACTTCAGGGAATCATTTTCCTCTTTGAGAACTTTATTCTCCAGAAGAATAGCATTGCAACGACGATTCAGTTCAGAGATTTCCTCTTTAGTCTCAATCAAAACACCAATAATAAACTTAGCGTATGAGGGAAGACTTTCCTCTTTACCAAGACGATCCAGTATGCTTGAATAGGCTGATCCATTGCTCGAAGGGCTGTCACAGTACTTTGAAGCCAAGGCAGAATCTGACGTCGGGGATACAGAGCTCATAATCGAAATGGTAGTTAGAATAGTTCAGTACTACACAAGTAAGCGTAAAAGTAGACTAGTAGTCCTGTCGTTGGGCGATCCTGCACCGAATAATCCAGAAAGGTAGCACAGTTAAGCAAGTGCGGCGGAGCAAGGAAAGACCCGACCGCTCACCACGTCATGAGATGTACTGGTGATACTGACGACATCGGAGCATGTAGACGGATTGTCATCAATGCTACTGGAAGAATGCGAGTATATCGTTTATTTCTTCTTTTTGTATATGACGGGAACATAGCATACAGCCTGCAAAAGATGAGTGTGAGCAGAGAGGCGAAGACGATCGCGATGATTCGAGTCGTTGTCAAACATTGATAGTTGTAGGGATGTTCCCAACATATAATGCAGTTTATTACTTCACTTTAGGCTTTCCAGTGCACTTGAGCGTGATGGAAAACTTTAGAGTGCCCTCTATCTGTGCCTGTAACATTGTTACGTAATCAAGTGTTAAGATTGCGGTTGGTATAAGGATTGATGTTTGGGGGTCGTAATAGGAGAGACATACACAAACATGAGCGCTGCATACCTCGATCATCTTAAATCTTTCCGCTGAGTCATTTGATAGGCCTGTTGTACGTCGAGGTATCGTAAAGTGAATATGGGACTCGTAGTACTGTCGAGCCGTTGTGCCCCATGATTCGATTACGACTGAGTTGTTGTCAAATTCGTATGTCGTAACTGATGTGGTATAAGTACAGAAGTGCTTAGCTTTGCTGGGTTCTACGCAGTAATGTCGACGGCAAAACGTTGAAGCTCCCGTGACGTCCAATGAAGTGTGCTGTGAGCTTCGTTCCCATCCTTATCGAAGCAGTAGTAGTCGTATTTGTGAAGGACTGTCTCCGTTGTTATGTGTAGTTCTCGTACGATGATGGGTGGTCATCGTATAGTTGAATCTGACAGAATATGCAGATTTCTCGTCTTCCGAGCAGTGCTCTGCTGAAGTGAATAAGCACACTTAATCTGGAATGAGGTGAGCGATTTCATAAGGTATATTACTGGATAAGGACAGTTCTGCCAATCTTCCTTTATATGTACTGCATGATGTCCAAAAAGGGCATGTCCATAAGCTATTCCCGCAGTATCCTGTATCCAGTTATGGTCGCTGTTGGATCCGAATGTGTTCTGAAGGACAGGTTAGATGTATCCAGCACAAAAATGGCTGTTGTCCCTCGTTGTTGCTAATACTGCTATTCCTTCAGGAGTGTATTGATCTGCGTAGCTTATACCCCTGATCATTTGGTGTGTGGAGGAGCAGCGAGTGTCTAGCGGAGTGTAGGAGGTGATTTTTCCTGTGAAGAGCATCGAAATTTGAGTGATTCCTGAGATAGAGAGTAGAATATTTCTTCCATGTTTCGTGCAGTCATTGAATGTGTTCTGCGACTGTAAAAGAACTTTGTGGCTCTGTGTCAACTGTCCCTGTAATTTGTTCCTTTCCTCCTTTATTGCTGGTTTGGGAGGGTGGGATATCTGGTGGGTATGATAGATTGGAAGGGCGTGTGCAAACTTGTCCGCTCGGAAGTTAAAGTGTAGCACAATATTCTGATCGACTGATGAATCGTGCGATCTTCCATTGGCGACGAGGTTGTGTTGGATAGTGAACTATTACTGTATGATTTTCCTATGGGGTTCCCTGGGATAGGATGTGGCGTTGTCGATGTTCGGATTGAAATTGCTCTCGCATGTTCGTGGTATTCCGTATTCCGTTACATCTTGCCCAAAAGCTATTGAGTAGAGACGGAGTGATGGTCCATCGTTCATGCAATTCGTCAGCATGTGTTTTGATCTTCCATTCATCATCCGATTCATGTTCATCTGATCGTAATGGGTATCCCAAATCAATCTCACTGTACACATACACACGTTAATGGACGACTGTTGACTATAGCTTCGCATTCTTTAGCCAAAGTGACGAACTCGTTTAACTCGAGTTTCCTGTTTTTTATGGTTTTAAAGCAGGGTTTGAAGATTTTGGTCATTCTCTCACACACGCCACCTTACTAAAGTGCGAAGGCTGGTATGAATTTATAAGTGATATTACGCTGGGAGCAGTAATCCAATATATGGCGACCATTTTCTGGACAGGATGGAGTGAGTAGTTTGGCAATTGATGTGAAGGCGGGTGCGTTGTCGCAGAGATTATATCGTGGGCAGCCCATGCTCGCAATGAATCTTCGAAGTAAATTAAGAAAGCTTATAGGTCCCGCATAGAATGTGTAGCACGGTTGATTGACTTGTTTCTGTGGGTGTTGTGGAAAGGGCGGCAAACAAAATGGGTTTGCTTTTTCCCTTACGCAGTACATGCAAAATTTGTTGATGACTCGATTAACCTCTGTTCGTCCTTGAGGTATCCTGACGCGTTGTCGTAGCGTAGTGAGTGTTTGGGCCCCGTAAGATGGTTTTCTTCGTGGATATAAATAATGTAGAGAAATGTGGTCCAGTTGTGACGAGTGGGGTTAGTTGTGTAGAAGGGTAGAGCAGAATTGGTAATTCTATCTCTTGATTCCCATGTTTTTCTCTGTTCGTCGAAAAATGCGTGTAGGTTATCTTTCTTCTGGCAGTGAGTTGGAAAATTCGCTTGCCTGGAGAGTACCATTGTTGCTTCGTCGGTGTAATCTAGAAATCGGAGTCGTATCCCTTTTCGTTTGTCGGTTCGGCATCTAACTTTGAAGAGGAACGTCAATACAGTAACCGTCACTTTTAGAATTCTCTTCCACTTACTGAATTCTGCTGGATTTTGGATGAGAAGATAAGAGTGATGTCGTTGTTCTTCATCGGTGATGGTAAAATTAATGGCTTCTCCTGGGAACTCATGATCTGTACTGATATGTTTGACCATTGGCCGCTGTTGTGCTTTGGGAAGTAGGGGCCTTTCCACACAGATCGTTCTCTACGAATGCTGTGCGAGAAGTTCCTCTGCTTCCAACGTCCGCGGGATTCGAAACTGAGGGATGTGACGTAGAATCGCCTTGGGCGCATCCTTCATGATGGCTTTAACGCGATTCTCGATGAAGATGGGAAGTTGTGTTGTTGCCTTCACTCATTTTAGGGCGGTTTTGGAGTCGACCAAATGTATTGCTAACTGACTTTGAGACCCACTTCTTCTATGAGGTGTCGTGTGAGTACGGCTCTCAGTGAAACTGACTGAGGTAAAGGCGTGGAATCATGACTGTGTTACAAAGAAAAGATAGTCTAGTTCGACTCATGAGCAGATGATTTGACATTTCGTTTTCTGTTGTTATCCGCAGGTACGCGACAGCACAGTAGGCAGCTTGAGATGCGTCGGGTTACATGTCAAGCTGGAATGCTGATTAGCTGGGAAGGCAACGTAGTATTTTCCGAGGAATTTCGATGTCAGGGTGAGACCAAATTGAGACGTTACGATGCCACTCTTAGTAGGATTTCTTCCAACTGGTTACAGTTTTTCCACGAGCTTAGGGAGGAATATTTCGCGATGACGGTGATTGGAGATAGTATTTATAGGGGATCGAAGATTGACCGACTACTCTTAGAATACTCCTTTTTGTTGAATTTTCCTGCATGACGATAGTAGAAGGCATACGGATGGTCAGAGAGTCGCCTCTCATATTTCATTGCATTCCCAATATTTGGTTGTTCCGTAGGCTGACGAGTTTTCATGTTGATTGATGATTTCATTAACTAATTCGCCCGATGAATTCTATAGTCGAGCATCACTCTTGCAAGTTATAACAATTCTTTTGTTCGGAGTTATTCTCCTCGGACTGTTCTCTCGTTCGGGCTGAGGAAAAATTGTTATCTACATAGCAGGAGGAGAGTCTCTTGGACAAGTGGATTCTCTGCTCGTGTGAGATGGATATTGGTGGTGGCTGAAAGTAGAAAGGCACTGCATTTCAATCCAAACGGGATGCCAATAAAGTTTAATGTTGGTAGGTTATCGATTGTGGGAAGTACCTGTGTTTCTTTAATCATGGGAATTCTGTTAAGCGTCAGTCGCTTCCTTCCAGTCCTACCATATAATACGCCTTTCCAATGTCTCCAATGAGAAGGAGTTAGCAGGCGATTCCGGAGTAATATGCCACTCAGGAGGAAGACTGGACCTCGAAAAGTCGTTGGAACCTGGTGAGCCTTTGATTCTTCCACTACCATTCGAATCTTTGTAGTTGTCTACGATAGATTCATCACCGCATGTTAGAGAGATAAGTCCCAGATGCTTCAATCATAGACGGAGAGTTTTTATTTATGATGCCTCTTCATAGCTGGTCTTGGATGATGTTATTGTATTTTTTCGGGTTTTTCGAAAGGGCCTTTCAATTCAAACGAAGATGTGCGAAACTGTGTCTATAGTTTTCTAGAACAGGATTTGGTTCCTATGCAATCTGTAGGCGTTCATAGTAGCGATGTTCTTTCTCATCATACCGTGTTGTTCTATTGAAATGTCAAGGAGAAGAAGATCGTTCTTTAAACTCGCCTCATCCGATGATTTGCATGTCCTAAATCTTTGAACCATCTTATCGAAACTTTCTCTGTTGAGAGGATGATCATGATCATCTTGTACTGTCATGTTGATAGTACGGGTGGATATCTTTCTGCCTGCGATAATCTTTCCAAGTCGTGTACTCAAGAGATAGCATCCATTTGAAAGTTTCGGGGAGTAAAGTTGTGCTGAAAGAACTAACTGCCCCAAACGATACATTTCGATAAGAACACCTGTGTGAACTGGTATCGTAAATAAATAGATAGTGGTACGTCTCGTAGAACTCGTAAAACGTTTCGTAGAGCGGTCCGGAGATCGTGAGGAGCCATCAGTGCTTCGATTAGATGTGAAAGCGATCGAACGTCCAGTTTGTAGAGGGTCGAATCGGAAAGTAGCAGGTTGGCTTGGAGGAGTTTTTACACGACTGACATGGGTTGCGTTGATCGAGACGTATGAAGTGTTATTTCGTAACCGACAGTGCGAAGTAGAAGAAGCACAGCTGCATCTG